GGGGGGCGGGGTGCGGCCCTGAGCGGCCATGGTCGCAGGCTCGCTCGTGGCTGGCCCTGTTGGTGTTTGTGTCTCTGTCTCTGCTGTAGCTCCTGGGCTCGGGCTCTGGCCGGGCTCCCCGGGGGCCGAGGTCGGCGCCGCAGCCATGCGTAGTGCGAGTGCGTGCAGTGCCCACGGGGCCCCTCCTCACCTTCGCGTTGTTCGCGGCACTCCATAATTTTACCATTTCATTTTATTTTCAGTTGATATCTGGTCAGTGGGGTGCATCATGGGCGAGCTGGTGAAAGGGTGTGTGGTTTTCCAAGGCACTGACCGTATCCTTCCCGGGCCGGCCCGCCGTCTCCGCAGACGCCACAGGCAGCCAGCAGTGCTCCGAGGAACGGCGTCGCGCTAGCCCGTGTTCTGAGGGCCTCTGTCCCGATTGTCACATCAGGTCTGACCCGGGTCCAGCCTCATGTGCTCTTTGTGACGATGTCGCTGGTCCCGTCAGCCTATGGCCTTATCAGAGACAGCTGGAGGAGCGGGAGAAATGACCCCCTCTCCCGAACGCAGTCTGGCGTTCCTGGGAAAACGCTGCGTCACTTCGCGTTAGTCCCCCAGGAGAGGTGTGCCTAGGCTGCCAGGCTGGCGTGCTCATGAGCTCGGGTAAGTGCTGTGGGTTAGCCCTGGTGCCAGCTGGCGGCAAGCTGTCCCCCTGCATCAGGGCTGGAGCGCCCGCGTGAGGTCTCAGCGAGAGGGTCAGGGAGCTCGTGTGAGGGACAGCACGTGCCGCTGTCCTGTCACTCCGCAGACATCCCGTAGACGTTTTTAAACACTCCACCTAGAGGGCCTCCAGGTGGCTCCGCAGGGAAGGCTAAAGTGTAGGCTCGCTGGAGCCCGCTGTCGCAGCCCTGAGCGCGGGTGCAGGGGACAGCGCGGGGCACAGGGCCCGACCCCCGCTGGCCAGCACCGCCGGGAGTGCACGCACACTGCTGCCCTAACCACCCACTAACCTGCGCTTCCTCACCAGCTCCGCCTCCCCGCAGCCAGCTCCAGTGGTCCCCGCTGGTGGGGGCCGGGTGCTTGTAAAGAAAACCCGGCACTAGCGGCAGCGTTTTGTGGCACGACTTTAATTGAGTATATTCGTCACACAACAAGGTTGACAGGAAAAGATTGGTCCCCGTCATTTTGTCTGTCTCCCTTTACATTTTCACATCATAGATGAAATAACACGTGCAGTTAATGCATCGTTTTATTTTGTTCTAGTAAATTCTCTATGCCTCAGATTCACCCTCTTCACACTACATGGTAGAGGAAAAGATGAGATGTTCCCAAGCTTGGTAGCTTAGAAATGTCTCCTTGACCTTCACTCACCTCAATTCTTACTCACTTTGTACCTTTTCTTATTTTATTAAAAACTGTTTTTCAGGAACCAGCAGTTGGCATAATGCCTATGTCGCTGGGCTCCCATATGGTTGACCACGTAGTCGACCGCGGTTCGTGTCCCAGACCCGGTGGCTTAAACTCACGCTGGGTGCGTGCGCATGCGTGCCCAAGATCCCGAGAGGAGAATGGAGGAGAAGGGATTGCGGCATGGCCATCGCCCCTGGGGGTGATTTCTCACTTTCTCTCTCTCTGTCTTTCTAGCAAACACACACGCCCTGTAGCAAAAACCTCTCAAAAAAAAAAAAAAACGCTAAAAAAAAACCCTCAAAAAAAAAAAAAAAAAAGGTTTTTCAAAATGTATAGATTAAAAATGCAGGCACTTGGCATACTTTAATAAACATTTTAAAGTTTCTACTTCACATATTAACATATTATAATGCCAGTAATTGTTTTATATAGAAGGTCACCTAGCATTATTTTCAGAAGTCACACAGATTAACGTAATTTTCTAAAGAAAGTGCTGCCTGCTTTTCAAATGTTAGATTGAAAATTTGGGGTGGGACGAGCAGTTGGCGTAATGGCTGTGTCACTGGACTCTCATGTGGTTGACCGTGGTTCAAGTCCCGGACCTGGTGGCTTTAACTTACGCTAGGCACGTGTGCGTGCATGCCCAAGATCCTGAGATGAGAATGGAGGAGAAGGGATTGCGGCGTGGCCATCCTCCTGGGGGTGATTTCTCGCTTTCTCTCTCTCTGTCTCTCTCTTTCTGGTGGGCGTACATGCCCTATAGCAAAAACCTCTTTAAAAAAAACAATTGGGGGCTAGACAGAGGCTCCGGGCTCCAGGCCGCAGTCCCCAGGGATGTGCTCTGGGTGCCTGACCTGGGGTAGGCAGGGACTCTTGTCCCCATTGTGGCCGACAAGAGATGCCGCCGTAGCCTGGGTGGCCCCTCCAGTGAGGGTTTGTGCACCTCGAGAAACTCAGGGCTCCTCAGAGTCTTGGCTCCCCCTTTGCAGAGTTGGAGCCCCGCAGCCCCCAGGCCGTGGGGGCTCCCGACAGCAGCATCCACAAACCCTGCTGCCCGCACCCCTAGGCCTTGGGGGCTCCCGACAGCGGTCCGCACACCTTGTGGCCCCCACCCCTAGGCCGTGGGGGCTCCCCGACAGCAGCGTCTGCACACCCTGTGGCCCACACCCCTAGGCCGTGGGGCTCCCAACAGCGGCGTCCGCACACCCTGTGGCCCGTACCCCTAGGCTGTGGGGGCTCCCAACAGCAGCTTCCGCACACCCTGTGGCCCGCACCCCTAGGCCGTGGGGCTCCCAACAGCGGCGTCCGCACACCCTGTGGCCTGCACCCAGGGGCCTGCATCCGTTTCCTAGCGCTGCGGCTAGTCTAGGCTGCTGGTCTAACTTCAGTTTTCTTTTTTAAAGAATTATTTATTTAATTTTATTGGTGGTTGTTTTTTTTTATTTGACCAGAGAGAGAGCAAGAAAGAGAAAGTGAGAAAGCAAGCCACCAGGTCTGGCCTCTAACCGCAGCTGGCCCCGTGGGAGTCCAGAGCCTTAACTACCACGCCACTTGCCAGTCCTGACTTCAGTTTTCAAAGGGTGAGTTGGGGCGAGGTGAGGGTGCACTGTCAGGACAGGGAAGAAGCAGGAGGCTGGTGTGGGCCGGTGGCCGCTCGGAAGACTGGCTCGTCAGAGAGCCCTGCGGTAGTTCCGAGCCATCTGTGAGACCGTGGGCGTCAGCATGGAATTTGGGAGACAGGTTGGGGCTGGGACAGGCATGGGTGCTGATGGCCAGGCAGTAGTGCTGGCGCCCGATACTGGGAGTGAGTGCTTGCAGAGAGGACAGGACCAAGAACCGGTGCCCTGGGTGGTGGGGAAGAGGGAACGGGGCAGAAATCGAGAAGGCCCCCAGTGAGGCTGCTGCTCCAAGAGCGAGGGCCCTGCCGGTCGGGAGGACGTCCCCGTGGGAGAGAGGTTATCAACCCTGGGGAGGAGGTAGGCGGAGAGGAGATGCACGCTCCAGCTACGGCCTCTGGCGGCCTCGGTGGGCACCGTCCAAGGGCGCAGTGGGAGGAGGGTGAGTCGCAGATGGCTCGGGAAAGAGCTTGCTGTAACTGGGAGTGAGGAGCAGCGAGGGGGCCACGACCACAGGGGAGAGGCTGTTAGCCAGGAGGGGGCTAGGCCTGGAGGCCATGAGCGGTCCAGCAGAGGGCGTGGGAAGGGTCCACACTGGAGTGAGAAGGGAGAGGTGCAGAGCCCATCGCCGGGCAGGCAGGAGGGGTTGGAGCACGGGGATGCACGTTCCCTGGGAGTCCCGATGGCTCCTTGGGGCGGAGTGGCCAGGGTCGCCATGGGGGACTTCCCTCGTGACGTGAGGAGCGAGCCTGGGGGGATGGCACTCCTTGCCTCTGTCGCGCAGGAGGACAGCTCCTCACTGGGGAGCCACGAGAGAGAATTCCCAGTTGGCAGCGCGGCAGTGCGGGGGAAGAGGGGCGTGCGGGTGGCTCCGGCCTCCACCCCTCCGGTCCCTTTGGACCAGCGGACTTGTGCGGTTCCATGAGCGAGTCTGTCTCCCTGAGGCCACTCAGCCCCTCCTCTGAGCTCCGGTTGACGTGGCTCTCCTGGCAGCAGCAGTCCCGGGCCACTCTACACACGCATCCCAGTCCCCGGGCCTGACGGTGCCCGTGCCCCAGCACCGTCTGCACCACGCACATACTGACGCCACTCAGAGAGACGGCCTTCCCAGAACCTCGGGAGTGTGCAGACACAGCCAGGCCTGAAACCCAGGTCACATACTTGAGAGGACAGGTGCATTATGGGGTTGCAGCGCAGGCGGCGTGGGGGCCGTGCCGAGCGACAGAGAATGGCACCCCGGAGCTGCCTCTGCTTACTCTAAGCCCGCTGTGGGAGGAGCGCAGGCCCCTGGGGAGATCCAGGCCCAGGGCACAGCTGGTCCCTTTCCTCTCTGTCTCCCAGCGGGCTTTGGCTCCCCACTGTGAGCTAAGGGAGTCAGACAGTTCTCTGCACGGGTCTCTGCATGGGGTCTCTGCATGGGTCTCTGGGTGGGTCTCTGCAGGGTCTCTGCTGGGTCTCTGCGTGGGTCTCTGCAGTTCCTCCTCTCCACCGTAGCGAGCCACGACACTAAGGTAGTGAGAGTGTGAAGCCTCACTGCAATTCGCCATGTAACGCTGATCTAACTTCATGCCTGACCCTCCTGTCATGGGTGTTCTTAGTTATAAGGTGTTTATCTAGAATGGGAAGACACATAGACTTCGTTGAGTTGATTCAATGCATGGTGGGCCTAGTTTTTAAAGATGCAGAATGTAAAAGCTTTTCTAAGTAGTCTAGATGGCGAAGCCCAAGCTTCAGTCAATACTGTTAGGGTATCAGGAAAGTCGGGGTGCGTCTTTGCCTAGAGAATACATCAGGACTCTGCAGTGCCCAAGTGCATAGTGCTCCCCTCGGTCCGGCTGGTTGCCTAGTGGTTCACTCTTTGACAGGTGTCAGTATAATGCTGCTCTTCGAGTGAGGTTGCTTCGTGTAATGTGAGTATAAGGCATTGCAGTTGTATTTTCCTCAAGAGACTCCTTAGATATTGATCAGTGGAATAAAGTGATTGAGCAACTCGGAACACCGTCAGCAGAGTTCATGAAGAAACTTCAGCCGACTGTGAGGAATTACGTCGAAAACAGACCAAAGTACCCTGGGATAAAATTTGAAGAACTCTTTCCAGATTGGATATTCCCATCAGAATCTGAGCGAGACAAAATAAAAAGTAAGCACTTCTTTTTTAAACTTTTTTTCCTGTATTTTAAGTGAGGTTTCCACTTTTCCGTGTTTGCATTCCGAACCTGCGAATATCGGGAGTTGAAACCCTGAGATAGTCACGTACAGGCTGATCTGACACACGAAGGCACTGTAGAGTCACAGCTCAAAAACCGGCAAGTTTCACCCCAATAAAATAACCCTACGGAAGCTTTTAGCCAAAATGGAAGCACTCAGCTCAGCCCTGCGTCCCAGCCGTAGCCGCACTCCGAGCAGCATGCAGTATAAAGGGTGGGACCAAATGCCGGCGGCAGGCCAGCAGGGTGGCGGGTGCTGCTAAGCGGCCAGGCAGTGCCCTGCAGTGGTGACTGCGTAGGAGACCTGGCTTCCATTCTTGGTCCAACCTGAAGTCCGGGCCAGTGGCTCGCACCTGTTACCCAGCACTCGGAGGGGCCAGCAAGAGACGTGAGTTCAGGCTGGCCTAAGCACAGGGAAGCCCCGTCACGCAGGGCCGGGTGTGACGGTGCACACCTGTGTGTGTGCTGGGCGACTCAGGTGAGTCAGGACAGCGAGACCCCACCTTCCAGAGGGAAGCAGATGCTAGTGTGGACCGTGAGAGCAGCTCAGTGGACAGGTCCCCTCAGCCCCTCTCCAGCACCCTTCAAAGTGTCACTGCCCAAGGACGAGGTCCACACCAGGGGCAGCTGTGGTCAGGGAAGCCCGAGCCTCCGCTTTGCTCCTGCGTGCTGGGAACTGTAACTGCCGCGGCCCGAACGCGCCTTCTGTGTGGCTGCGTCACGGGCACGCTCTGGTTCTACCTGCCGGCCTCGGGACTGTGCCGCCCACCCACTTCGTGCCGTGCTCATGGCCAGCGCCGCAGGTCGGGCCTGGCTGCCTGCCCACAGGCACTCCCGCCCCGGCACCTGGATGCGAGTGGGCTGCCCAGTGAGCCCCGCCTCTGCCCCCCAGATTCCGAGGCGTAGACCGCACAGAGAGCACGGCCGGCCGTGAACGCAGCCTCCGCTTTTTCCTTAAAACCCCTGGCACTAGCGGCCTCGAGCCGTGGCGGCCCCTGACTCTCCATCTCCCCCACG